CCAATCCATACTTCCTGTTCAATCCCTCTCCGCTCCTTCCTCAGGCTCCCAGTCTTATTCCTTCTTCTCCTTTCCTCCTCCCCATTACTCTGCTCCACTCTGTGTTTCACTGTTCCAGTTTCCCATTCTGGCTTTCTGTCCTAGTCTTCTTTCATAGCCAGGCCCCGTTTTTCTTTCAGAACAGAGCTCTTTGTAAGACACATGCCCTCACACCTCCATTTGTTTAGCTTCATCCCACTTATTGCTGCTTTCAGGATCTTTGGCAAGCCAGTACCTAGTCACTTCCACTCTTACAAATTCAACATTTGATCCCCATGTTCTTCCCCTCCACCCTGAAGCAAATCGTCTCCTAGCTTTCACCCCAATTTCCTGAATCAAAAGCTCCTTGCCCAACCAATCTTACATTCCCCTTTCCTTCCAATTCTAGTGTCCCCTCTTCTCTCTACTAGTTCCCATTCTCCTGGCCCAGCCAGTCCCACAAGATACTTTGTGTGAATCTGTTCCTTTCCCTCCCCACTGATTTGGTTGTTGTTGGTTCTGCATTTGAATTAGAGGGTTTCTTCCTTGGCAGCGCTGAGGGCCAACAGGGGAACCACGGACAGAACAAGAAAGGTTCCCTTGCTGTTCCAATGCCTAGACTCTCAGAAAAAAAAATTCTGCAGTGATAATCCCGCAAAGGTCAGGAGGGAGCATGCTTGGTTGCTCTTTGGGGACAGTCTACATAAAGTCTGATCAGCACTTGAAAATGTGCTCAGTGAGAATAGAACATTCAGAAAAAAATAGCAGCTAAGCCTGAAAGGCTTATTACTTTGACCAAATGTGGATGTAACCCTGAGATAGAGGCCACTCTATGACCAATTTCAAATAAAATATATGGGGGGTATTGTGTCATAAAACATTTTAATAGTGCCAAACAACAATTTTTTCTGTAGCCTTTTTCTCAGAAAAGGCCAAAAAGATTAAAAAACAATGAGCAAAAAATAGAAACCTGACATACAACATTTCAACCAAATGGCTAAAGTTTGACAAAGTTATCAGCAATTAAAAACCTCTTCTTATAATGAGAAGTGTTACATGGCCTAATTAGGAAACCAGTTTATTAATTTAGCAACTAGAAAAAATAATAGATTAGCAGATTATTGATTTATTTATTGCTTTATCTGAGTTATGCTGGTTCTTGTCTTCCTTAAGGATGAAAAGTGACATTTAGATTTTAGATTATGACCTTGTAAATGTCTTTGTGTGAACATTAGAGAACATTAGAGTCTGAATCATTTTATTGGGATTATTTAAAGAGGTACATTTCTGCATATGGTTATGTTTTAAGTGATGAGAGCCTATATTTCTTCCAAAAATGTAACTGATTTTTCTTTATAAATAGCAAACCCAATTGCCTTCAGAACCACCACAGTGACAAAATTGTAGAAGCTATAGCTGGTTTAGCCATTAAGACAGTTCAAAGAAAGCAGGGGATGAATTCATGTTCATTCCATAAAATAAAACAAATTATAATAAAGGAAACCAAGAAGTATGCAAGCAAAAAAAAAAAAAGTAAGCAACTCTAATCCTTATTATTATCCATTTTCTTGGGGGTGGGGGGGAGATTTTTTTCTAGGAAAGCCAGACAGGATATTTTGAAGAAGGTTAATGGGATAGTTTAATTTATTTACATCACAAACAGCCCTACACTTATAATGCATTAAAGTATTTAGCAATCTCTTCCCAATAAAGCAAAATGTCTTTAGACAATAATATACTCTGTTATCAGCAGGCCTTACTACTTCTTCAAGTCTTATTGTAGCCTCACGTGGCAAAAGAATTCAGGATCAGGGCTTTGCTTTGTTTCGTAAATTGTTTTTTTTTTTTTTTGGGGGGGTGGGGTTGTACTAGTATAGCCACTTATAAATTTAAAACAGGGTCATCAAAGATATGGTCCCTGGAGCTGTCCATGGGGCCAGAAATTTAGCATGGTAAAAGCATTCAGGATCAGGGCTTAAATTAATTTTCCTTTGTTTGGAAAAATTGTTTTTTTCAGGTGTTTAGCAGGGATGTGTGAAGCTTTGGGTGGTGATTCAATTCAGAGATTTGGCCCGATTCAGTGGCTGAATCCCCAAATCCAAATGGAATCAGGGGACCAATTAAAAGGTCCAAATCTATTCAAAGTTCTCTGAATCTTCAGAAAAGATGCGAAGAGCTTCGATGATTCGGGCAGTCCTCGACTCCAAGCTGGTAAGTAAGAGGGTGGGGGAACGAGGGCTGGGGGAGGGGACCATGAGGGGATCTGTGCCAGCCCCCATCCCCTCCCTGCTCTTCCAGACCCCCCATGGCTGCCCTGCCCACCCCAGTTCCCGGCCCTTTAAAGAAAAGCCCTGGCACTCACCGAGTGCTGCTGGGCGGGAGGCAATCCGTGCTGCACCTCACTACCCCACGTTCCATGGGGGGGCTCTGCCACAGTATCAGGTGTGGCTCACGAACACTGCGATGCTGGGGCAGATGGAGCATCCCACAGGAGTACTTCTGGTCCACTTCCAGGTCTGCCATTGAGCATGCAGGGGGACCTCCCCACATCTCCCTGGCTCAGTGATCGGCCATGGGGGGACCCCAGGTGCCCCCCAGACCCAGGAGGCACCAGTCACTGAGCCAGTGGGGCATGGCGGGATCGGGGAGCCCCCTAAGCTTCTGTGCAATGCTCCATCTGCCCCACCTTAACAGCATTCACAAGCCACATGGTACCATGACGTATGTAGAAAAAACGTTTAAAACTATGTCTATATCCAAATTGCCGAATCTTTCCAAATAGATTTGGAGGATTCCATTTCAATTTGGAGAGATTGAAGGGTCTCCTGATTCAATTTGGATTTGTAGATTCAGCCACTGAATTGGGCCAAATTGAGTCAGAGACCAAAGCTTTGCACAGCTCTAATTTCTAACTACATAAACATTTTCTTACTGAACTCAGTAAAGTTACAAACATACTAGAACAGTTCAGTACAGATCAAAGAGCTTAACTCCTGCTGTGTATATAACACACACACACAAAGTAAATATCAAGGGCCTTCTATACCCTAGTTCATTCGCATTACTTCCAGATCCATAAAACAAACCAAGTAAAATATATTCATGAAATCTTCATGGCCTTAACAAACCAATGAAAGAAAAAAGTCTTAAGATAGCTCAAATCAATGAAGTATCAAATAGCAACATTGAAAAAATGCTTGGTTCCTGGAAAATTATCCCAGTAGGATTAAGAAAGATTGGGCAGCAAGCAGAACCATATATTCTTTTAACTAAAAAAACTGTGATTCTTCATGTAATAATTTTCATTCATGAAGTCTTGGTGTGATTTGGAGGGCAGATGTATCCTAATTAAAAGGTACCTTCAAGTCTAAAGCATCCTTTCAGAGACTGCATATAACTCAAGAGACAACTACTGTTCTCTCAAATTTTATCCTTGAGATAGGAGTGGGAGTAAAATAAAATCTCCATGGGGCTGAGAAGTTTGGAAGTTTTTTTAAAAAGACTTAAGAACATAAATTACAACAACAATGGAGATTTTAAGCAGCTCAATTTACTAATGCAGAAAATAAACCACTATTGTTTTGTAAACATGAACTCAATAGACTTCAAAATATACTGTGATTTTTTGTCTGCTTTATTAGTTTTGGCATATTTGAAAAAAATTATAGAAAAAATGTTCTTTCTTAGATTATGGATCTAGATGCTTAATTGGGGGTGCCATAATTTCAAAACAATGAAAGAACAATATGGACACCTAATACATTTGTGCTGTAGCCTGAAGTATTAAAAAGTATACACACACACATGCTAACAAATATCTTTCTAAACAAAAAAAGAATTCACCTTCTGAAAAACTAAGAAAGTCAGATATGAGAATAATATCCGCTATGCATAATTTTAAAAGAATAAAAATAAGCAGAGACACTTAACCGATTGGTTGATTCTTTATAAAATGTATTTATATGAAGAAAACACATAAAATGACTTGAGTCATGAGGAAATGTTATGGCTATTTGTCTACACAAAATAAATTCATGCTCCATAGAGATAAGCAAAACTACTAAGAACTGAGGTTTCATATACTAAAAACAATAGCAAACACAATTAAACTAAAGCAAGCTGGCAATTCTATTTCTTTGGTAACTGTAAAAGTCTAAGTTTCAGCAGACCCTGAAATTATTAAATATCTGGTAAGTACATTTTTTCAGGTCCTCTTATATTTTATAAGAGCACTGTCATGAAGCTCAACTGATGAATAAATTACAATCTGATGACACCATTATAATAGACATGATTGTGATATGTAATCTCATTATTACAAGTGAGCTATAACCATTTTATGAACATTATATGTGACATAATCAGAGAGGAGAATTATTTTGTATATTGAGATCATAAGACTGTCATATATGAATGCATTGATCTAACCTTTTTAGAGGAATGTTTATTATACACTTATGGTACTGGAATTTAATAGGGACTGAGCAGGATAGAGCTAGGTAGACAACAATTTGTCTCTCTCACAATAGTTTGAGATTTAAAAGATCTATACTGCCTCAAATGGGGATGAAAAATTAATATTAAAAATGCTGTAAATGCCAAATCAAGGATAAAGATTGTATTGAGTCAATCCAACGATTTCATTATGATAAGCATGAACAAGTTTGAAAACTATCTTAAACAATGGGAAATTACTTTAAATAAAAAGCCCCTTTCTTTTGACAATTTCAACATTTTTTATTATTCTTTTTGAATGGGAAGAGTTGGCCAAACCTACCCTCTTCTGAACAGTTTCATATTCACTACGTCATCTACAGTCCTGCATGAGGGTGCACACAGCGTCCTTCCTCTGGGCTTTAACACACACAGCATAGCACACTCGGCATAGAACACAGGCATGATTTGAGCGCTACAAAACTACTTGGCTATCAATTCCAAAATGTATAACAGTTCAGGAAACAACTCCAAACAAATCTACTAACCTTTGACGAGCATTCTCTTTCCAAGGTTTTGACCTGCTTTGAGGTGAATGTGTAAATCAGCGATTCAGGCCTCCAAATACACTCTCCTTAATTGGTAAATTCCCTGTAATAGACCTAGAATAAAAATGTGTTGTGTTATTAGTGTTGAAATAAGTAACATATTATTGTAGTAAAAGTTGATAAAGAAAGCAAACTAGTTATTTTGCTGAACTACAATATTTGGTGTGACTTTAAAATAATTTTGCTACATCATCTGAGAAAAATCAGAAATTCTATTACAGTCACTTGGCAACAAGTACATCAATGAATTTAGCAGATGCCATGGAAGACTTTAATATATCTTTCTAGCATCAGTCAGATCGATATGCTTGACTAGCTGTTCCACATTGCCACCAGTCAGGCCAAGTATAGCACCCTGTGGGCATGACTACGTGTGCTTTAATGCACAGTAACCTATTTTACTGTTCATTAAAGTGTTACATAAAAAAGTGTGTGATTACACTGTTATACAGTTAAATACACTACTCTGCATTGTCACTTACAAAACATGCACTGTACATATTGTGCATTAGGGCAGCCTCATGAGAATTTATTTAGTACCTCACATTGGAGGTATTACCTTTAATGGGCAAAGCACATCAATGCATGTGTAAATGTGCCCAGTAGGGGCCAAATTTACAGCTCATTAAATTAATGAAAATAATTCTGTTAACTTCAGTAGATCAGGGCCTAAGGTCAACTAAAACTTATGAAGTGTAGCAAAATTCCATCTATATTTTGCAGCAAGTTGAAGACAGATGGTAAGGTCCCAGGTGTTTTATTTCCCCTGAAATTGTTACAAAATTAACTTCTCATTTTCATGATCTGTAATCCTGTATTTGCATTTGTGCTGAAAGAAAGTAACCTTTAATACAATTCAGAAATGTTACTGCATGCCACAAGTATACCATTCAAGATGATTTTACTTTAATAAAATTCTAAATACATGTAATGATTCATTGTCTGCTTCAGTGAGAAGCTAGAGAAAGAACCATAATTGTTTTACTTTTACACTTAAATGGGATGGTGTATTGGTGTGATTATTTACTTCCTATTTAGAATCACTATTTCCCCTGCCAGCATTACGTGAGTGGTTTGTAATAATCGAAAATCTATTTGCTTTTATTAGAGCGTAAGGTACTCAACCACTATAAACTTACTGTCAAATGAGAGCTAGCTCGGCATAAAATTATTTCAAACATTCTTTATTTTATTATGTTAAACTGATGCTCTTAAGTACCATTATTGTACAGTGGATTATGGAAGCAATAAGCTAATTATCACAGGTTTTAATTGCTTAAGTGTGAAATATCAGTAATGTATAAGTAATGAAAATCCTAAGGTTAAGTCATAAAATTCTAAACACCCATAAGATCTAGCACTGTACTTTAAATATTTTAACTTGCGCAGCAAGGAGGATTTTATTTCACAGCACTAAAAATACCACACTTTGTTTCTGAGTCATTAGCTAAAAAAGATGGGAAGACCTTTGCTCATTTAAATCCGTATAGTTTCATTAAAGACAAGGGAGCAGTGTCATCTTACACCAGCTGTGGATTTGGCCCACAGTTACAGCATATGTTGGGCACTGTGCAAATGAAGAGTGAACTATACAGCTGTCTTTGGATTGTGAGACAATGTTCTTTATAATTTTAAGCAATCAATAAGCTAAAAGGTTCAATTGTTTTTCATCTTGGTGGGTGTATCTATATGAGACATTTACTGTGGAGTAGACTAATTAGCTCTGCAGTAAATGTTGCATGTCTACACATGCATACCTATTAGGCTGGAGTAAACTAATTAACTCTGCAGCTGTGAAGTAAAAAACTCCACAGCAGTGCACATGTAGACACTGTCTTGACTCACTGGGGCACAAGGGTGCTTCAGTGCGGGGCCTGCCTGCTGGCTAGCCCCACACTGGAGCACCTTTGTACCCCAGCCAGCCTCTTTTCAGCACATCAAGCCTTGGGAGAGCAGCCCCAGCAGATCCCCAGGGCCCCCCTGCCAATAGAGACTTCTCTGACCCAGCTCAATGTTCAAACAGCATGCCTGGGAGCAATAAACTATGTAACAATAAGCTCCAGAGTTTATTGCCTCACATTCATTGCACATATAGCTGCACCCACTTATACCTACATAGATTTGGGTTAACTCTATTTGAACAAATGTTTTCTGCTAGATTAACAAAACCAGATTTTGCCTTGCATAATAAATGAATTAAATCAATATTTGCCTCTTAATCTACACCACCAATAATAAGTGTCATAATATGCAGTTCTTTAACCAAAAAGCAAAATATATATTTCAGTTCAATATGGATATGCAGTTTATATGGAGGCAGATTTATAACGCTGATGGAGCCATAAAAATGTGGCTTTATGCCACAGCATAAACAGAGAGCTAAATAAGAATTCTTAGGTTTTGTTAGAGATGGGCAAAAAAGGTGCTGTTTGGGTCTTGACCTGGTATTTTAGACTTAAGTAAGGCTTTGGATTTGAGACTGAATGAAAAGCAGAGTTCAGATACGAGTAAATCCTCATATATGAAATTCCAAGCTGTACTTTCAAAATGTTAGATGAAGAATTAACTCTTGAAAAGTTCTGAAAATGAGGAAAGTTATGTCAAGTGCAACAAAAAAATCCTTACTACCAGCTTACTTTAGACTTTTCTGGGTCTTTATATCAGTTAAAAATCTGGCATATAGTTATAGTACATATTAGGTAATGTGTATTGTGTAACTAAGGAATGACTTAGACAGGTAGTAGAAATAGTGGGCTCCTGCATAACCTTGTCTGAAGTAGGAGCCAGAAAACAATGAGGTTTTGTTGTGGGAAAAAGGGACATTTTCCCACAGCTGAAGCAAGGGACAAAAACTCTTTCCATCCCTTCCCAAATTAGGGTTTCTTTACATGTGAGCAAGCAGTGCAGAAAATCTGGTAAGAAGCTTTGCCTGTGAAAAACTGAGCTATGGGGTCATATCCTGAGCAAAGCCAGACACCAACATTTCCCACTGAAAATAAATGCGAGTTGAAGGTACTCAGGATTTGGGCTGTGTTCTATTAACTCAGAGAACACAGAAGTAATTCAAACCTTACACTTTGTCAAATATGAGCCCCAGATCTTTTTGAGGTTTGGCTGTCACCAAATCTTTGCACTCCTTTGCACAACCTACTTCATTCTGGGACTGCAATTTCAGAAATTCCATTAAAATGGCTTCTTATGTAGTACTATGTGCCAGGCTGGAAATGGAAAACGTTGGGAATCTTAAAAACAGGGACTACTGTAGGAATATCTTTAAACACATTTTTTTTTTCAAAGTGTTTTTTAAATTTTCCTCTCTCAGAAAAGCATTGTTAATGTTGCTCATCCTAAACCAGATTTTTAAGGGTCATTCATCACTGTAAAACAAGAATTCGATGTCCTGAAATGTCACAGTTTCAGTGTGTTATTTGGTACTGAAAGGAATGAATCCAACACTTTCAAAATGTTCTCTAACAAAACACAAACAAACAAAAACACATCCAATACCCTAGAGGTGAGGGCATTCATCAAGGATATAGGTGGTAGACTCAAGCCCCTATTCTGAATGTGGGCCTCCTACTTTTCTGGTGAGGAAAAACATTAAAAAAAAAATCATTGGTATGTTTAGTGCTATAAGGTGGGGCTCTCTTAATATCTTCTCCTAGGGAAGCTGCACACTATTTAAATTATTACATTTTCTTTAAGATACAAACTGTGTAACCTGGTAGTTTTAGAGGAGGCACAGGATCCTGAAAATAGATCTCCTAGATTCCAGAGAGTCCCCTAAGCACTGGGTGTAGAATATTTCTTTTTTGTTTGTTTCTTTCGTTTGATCACAAATTCCATCTTGGACTGGAGAAAGTGTCCCGATGAAAGTTTCATCAGAACTTCTATGGTTACCTGAAAAGTTTCAGTTTCAATTAATCCTCATTTTTCAACAAAAAAGTTTAAAGAAAAAAATCCTGAGTGGCTCTACTTATTAGTAGAGATGGAACTCCATCATCCTCTGAATGAAGGTGATCAACAAGCAACTGAACTACAATTAAAGCGTTGTAGTTCAATTGCAGCTTAACATTATTCATATACAGGAATAACACCCTTCCTTTATGGAAAACAAAATTTCCGTTTCACATGCACAGACATATACACATATGATGAAATGAAAGCTCCTAAATCCAATTATTTCATTTTTCTGTAAATGGATGAAAATGTCAATTCTCCCCCAGTGAATGTTCCCCCACAAACATCTATTTACAAGTTATTACTAATATAACCTATTATTTTTTTGATCTGGGATCCTAGAAATCATTGGACCTTGCTAGAAAAGTGAAGCTTGTTTACCAAAATACATTATTCAACATCATCATTACTATTACTACTACTACTATTACGGCAGTTCCTACGGTCTAACAAATATTTTGGCTCCAGTACTGCACTAGACAATCAACAGACACATGTACTACTAAGTATCCACCCTGAATTGGTTATATTCTTTATGAAGAGACAGACACAAAGTAGGAGGATACAACATACAGGCAGAGGTCTTCAGTATCTCCATGACTTTAGTGCATTTATGAAATAGTCATTTCCTCTTCATTGTATGGACGTATGACATATTTAAACATTGCTTAAAACTTCATTGCTGCCCTAACATCTCAATGAACATCAAATAACCAGCACTCCACACTTCTACCTTGGAGTGACAAAAACAAAACAAAACAAAACAAAAATAACCACTCCTAGGCTGAAGGGATACATAACTGAACTCACCAATCACTAGTGACCTAGAAGATTTTACATTATGCAGTGGCAGGTTCACACAAAGAAAGCACAGATGGAGGTTGGTTAGCTTCAATGAACAAAGATCACTTTGGGACCAGAAGTGCTCTGCCTTTTTTAATTTGCAGTCTTGTCTCTTTCAAAAGTCATGTCTGGATAGCACTGATGAAAATAATAAGCCGGTCAAAATGGAGCTCACATGGTACAAAAGAATAGGTATCCATGGAGAAGAAAGGTCATAAGGGCATGATAACCTGTGACTTTTAATTTTATAT